GTGAGGTTGTTTGTATCCCTGTTAGGCTTCAGAATACTTTGTAGGCCCCTCAGTTGCCACGCTGGATTCACCTCCACATTATAAAGCTGTTGCTATGATTTTTATGCCCGTGAATCGACATTCGGGCGCAAGGCTACCAAAAGCAGCTCGCTTTGGTAGCGGAGCGATACGCTCTGCGGCCCTCGGCCGGCCCGGCCTCCCCGGCGCGCCCAGCGGCGCGCGCTTCCGCCAGGAAACCACTCCGCGACCCGCATCCGCAGCGGGAACATCGAGCACTATCAGAGGCTCGACGAGTACCCGCAGCTCAGAGAGTTCCACCAGAAGGTCGAGAACCAAGAGCTCACCAGCAAGTACAAGCAGATCCATGCGTTCACGCAAGATTCACGAGTACTTGTTCCCAAGTTGGACAGCATCATGAATGGGCCTGGCATGCATATCAATATGACGAGGACGAGGACTTCGACGACTGGTACGATGCCTAGTATGATGACACTTTCGAATGGGGTTATGATGAAACATATGGATGGACAGCTACCAGTGACGGAGAATGGTATTACCAAGATTATGACGACACGTGGGCTCAATATGACGATCAAGGAAATCCCTTGGAATGTATTGAGGCAGATATACCATTAGATACCTATTACGGCAAAGGTCAAGGACGTGGCAAGGGTAAATTTCGCAAAGGTCGAGGACGTGGAGGATTTCGTCGCATATTCTCTAAAGGCAAAGGAAATGGCGAAGGAAGTAAAGGCAAATCCTCGGGTGATGGCAATAATCGTTCCAGCAGTAATACGCAAAGAGCTGAAGGATGTGATGTCTGTGGAAGTAAATGGCACACATCATCGCATTGTCCCGCCAAGGGACAGTCTAGTGCATCATCGTCAGCAGGATCACACAGTACGATATCTCAGCCATCATCATCTAAGTCAAAGGTAAACGCAAATTTCCCAGGTCAACACATTTGATTACGACACGTCCACCCGGTTCTTGGATTCATGTTGGTGACGAGACACCGATTACATCCCAGGCCAGTACACTTGAAGTCATGCCTCGAGTTCCAGAGCACGTCGAACAATATCATATTGGCAGTCCAGCGGATCAACAAGTCCCAGAAGGTGACACGTTCGAGCTACACGACGATGAGAACCGCAACACAAGGAAAGATCACGACAAGGACAAAGTATTCCGACCTCCCAATCTTGGACTGGCATCACCTATACCGGACAACACTACACGGACTTCATTACGTACTCTGATCAATAAAAGACAAGACACACCAGCATCACGATCATCAGGATCGCAAACATTGGCACTGGCACAGAAGCTATCGCAGCAGTACGCTTTGGTCTCTGTTAAACATGAACCTCAAGACAGCATGTCAAGTATTCTACCGGCAGAGGCAAGCACTGAAGGCTTCTGTGCGCATGCAATGCTCACAGGTACCGCTGAACCGTACGTGACACTCCACGCCATCAAGGGTCAGGAAGTCCATGGGCTCATCGTTGATCCTGGAGCAGCCGAGGGTTTGCTTGGCACCGAGACGCTGCTCAGCTGGGCCAAGGACATTTACAAGCCTGACGGTCAGACCTATGACATGAATGCCTCCTCAGCGTCGTTCACAGGCATCAATGGGCAACCTGACCCGTCTTGTGGAGAATTCATCAGCCCTATCATGGTAGAGGGATTGCATCCTGGATCTACCTATCGAGCAGACTTGATCGGTGGTCTTGGAGCACGTTGTCCAGGTCTGCTTCCCAACAGTACACTGATGAAGGAGAAGAGCATCATGTTCGAGAGCATCTTCCCAAATGGTGATGGTATCTTGGCTTTCGTGTCGGATGAACGATCGCCTATTCTGGCCAGGATGCGTCTCACAGATTCCAAGCACTATCTCCTGCCAATCAACAACAGGAAGCAACAGACGCAACGCGACATTCAGGGCATGCTAGACCTCATCGAAGCAAGGGTTCAGAAATTGTTTGGCACATTTTCACGCTCTCGACGGCCTCAGCAGCACCTTCGCACGAGTAGCTCTGACAGGTATCCCGAAGCGCAGAATCAGAGTGAGGTTACCGGCGCGATTTTGACAACATCAGCACGAATGTCAGCAGCAACGAGCATGGATGCAGCAAACGCAACAGACGTCACTATATCATCCGAGAAGATCAGGCAAGTACATTTAGCCTATCAGAATCAGGATGCCAAACAGTTCTACGACCTCTGGCGTAATTTCCCCGCCAAGAGGTATGCTACGGACAGCAGAGACAACTGGCCCAACAACTTCGATGAGACAACGTGTCGACAGTTGAACAAGGAATACCAGATCATGGACGAGAAGTTTTACACATCATCGAGACTACCAGTGATTCGTCCCGAACACGTTCATGCCTTCATCGAGCACGTGCGGCCCATGTACAACAATCAGGCATTATTGCTTGAAGGATTCTCCGGTACATCTGGAGTTTCATATCAGGCCTATCGCGCACATCTGATTGTCTTACCACCGATTGACTATCGATACGGTTGGAATCTACACCAGGAGGACCATCAGCAGCAGTTCTTGGAGCTCTACCACGCATTCAGACCGAAGTTCACGATGCTGGAGCTCTACTGTCGTCCCTGGCCTCAGTCTAACAACAACACTGAACCTACGGAGTCGGGACATCGACGTAACCTGGAGCGACCTCTTCTCAGTTGGACAGCCAAGGTTGCTGCCCCAGAAGTGGAAAGAACTGGTGGTCAGCTTATCCTGGGGAATCCCTCGAGATCAGCCATCTGGTCACAGTCAGATCTTGTGCATTTGCCCAAACTAGTTACATCAGAATTACATGACAATATCACAGATCAGTGTGCTCATGGAGCATGGAATGTGGACCTGGAACTACCGATAAGCAAGCGGACAATCTTCAAGAGTACGGTTAGACTACGTAATACTTCCAGGACATGTCAATGCTCAGGGCCTCATGCTAACCTTCAAGGATCTGACGATCGTGGTCGCAAACGTACAGAGCACTCATTTGTAATTCCGGTCATTTGTAATTCCGGTCATTTCCAATTCCGGCCACGAATTGCAAATGAGAGGTGCCGACGGGGAGGCATGTGCTCAAGCGCTACGCCCAACTCTCCAAGGCGTCAGGGCGCAGATTCTGCTTACGCTCGTAAAAGATCAGAAGAATAACGGCAACAACAACGTCGTCGCCGTTCCGTGTGACACGCAGGATTTGCGTGTCACGTCTACGCGACACGCAAATCCTGCGTGTCGCGTCGCCCTGCCTCCCCGAACGCGTTCCGGGTGACACGCAGGATTTGCGTGTCACGTTTACTTACGCGACGCCGCCCCGAGCGCGTTCCGTGTGACGTGACACGCAGGATTTGCGTGTCGCGTAGACGTGACACGCAAATCCTGCGTGTCACGTCAGTCTGAAGCCTCAAGGCCGCCGAATGACTGACACGCAGGCTTCGCGTGTCGCGCAGACGCGAACGCCTCCGTGACACGCAAATTCTGCGTGTCACGCGGCCAGGAGCGCCGAGGAGTGCCGAGGAGTGCCGAGGAGTGCCGAGGAATGCACCCCGAGGAGTGCCGAGGAGTGCCGAGGATTGCCGAAGAGTGCCAAAGAGTGCCGAGGAGCGCTGGTGAAATGACGAGGCGCGCCGATGGGTGCGGAGGTTACGGAGGATTGCGGAGGAATGCGGAGGAGTGCGGAGGAACGCGGAGGAGTGCGGAGGAGTGCCGAGGAGTGCCTGGAGGTGCCGAGGGGTGCCGAGGAGTGCCGAAGAGTGCCGAGGAGTGCCGAAGAGTGCCGAGGAGCGCCGATGGAGTGGGGCGGTGCGCCGATGCACGCGGAGGGTTTTGGAAAGGGCTGCGGATGAGTGCGGAAGAGTGCGGAGGAGTGGGCGCCAGACTGGATGGGTATGGGGCGCTTTCGGCCCTCCTCCGTGATTGGTGCTCCTTCGTTCCTTCCTTCCTCCTTCTCCTGCTCTTCCTCCTCTTCCTCCTCCTACTCCTCCTCCTCCTCCTCCTCCTCCTCCTCCTCCTCCTCCTCCTCCTCCTCCCCCTCTTCCTCATCCTCTTCCTCCTCTCATCCTCGTTATCCTCCTCCCTCCCTCCTCCTCCTCCTCCTCCTCCTCCTCCTCCCTCCCTCCCTCCCTCCCTCCCTCCCTCCCTCCCTCCTCCCCCATATCCCCCCCTCTTCCTCCTGTTCCTGCCCTGGCCCTGAGCTCCGCCCATGGCCGCAGCAAGCGTGCTCGCATGGGCCCCCCCCGTTCGTTTCGGCACACCCCTCACACGCTTCGCACCCTCCATGGAACTCCGCTCTTGGTCCCAACAGGCGTGCTCGCGTGGGCTTCCCCCGCCCGTTTCGGCACACCTCTCACGCGTGTCGTGCCCTCCAGGGAGCTCCGCTCATGGCCCCAGCAGGCGTGCTCGCACGGGCTCCCCTGGCCCATTTCGGGCCCGCTCGACGAAGGCTTGTTCCCCGTGTCGTTGCGGGCGCGCTACAGCGCCGCCCCGATCGCGTTCCGTGTGACACGCAGGATCTGCGTGTCAGGTCTAGGCGTCACGCTTTTCAGGCAACGCCCTCGGGAATTCTTGGGGGCCTCTATAAAGCTTCGGCATGGCACGGCACGGCGCGGCACAGCGTGGCACGGCAGGCGCGGCACGTCACTCCGGCACGCAGCGCGCTCGTGGGTCACACCCCCGCGGCGCCAAACTTGCGCGACCCTGCTCGGGACCAAATGCACTTCACGGTGCAAGCGACGCCTGCCCTGACGACGACGACGACGACGACGACGACGACGACGACGACGACGACGACGACGACGACGACGACGAGCGAGGAGCGAGGAGCGAGGGAGGGATCGCAAGCGGCGCACAAGCGTTGCTTAATTTACCCCTTCTACAGGAAGAGGATGAGAAGGAGGGGGAGGAGGAGGAGGAAGAGAAGTGATAGAGGAGGACGGGGGAGGAAGGGGGGGGAGGGTAAGATGATGATTTTTTTCTAATCGCCGTCTGTGCCAGGCCGCCGCTCGGGCACGAGCGCTGTGTCTCCTGGCACGGCGGGCGCGGCGGCGTGCGGCGCGGGCGGGCCCTGCGGCCCCGCAGGCGCCCGAACCCGCGCGCGCGGCCGATCCGGCTCCCGCGCGATGAGCGCCGCTGCCGCGGCGAGGTCTCCCGCGCCGTAGGCTGGCGCAGCCTCGCCCTCATCGCTCACCACCCACTCTTGGAGAGCGGCTTCCGTGTAGTCTGGCCCGGGCACGAAATTCTCCTCCTCCTCATCCTCCGACGGCGCCTCGTCGGAGAGGACGCCCGCCGGCCCCTGCTCCTGTTTGGCGATGTGCTCCAAGTGGGCCTGCCTCGCGGCCGCTCGCTCCTCCTGGAGCTGCGCCCGCTTCGCCCTCGCCTCCTGGCGGGAAGGGCGCGCGGCGCACCCCTTCTGCTCTGGGCGCTGCCAGAGGGCATGCTCTGCCGCGATCGCCTCGAGGAACTCGCTCCCAGAGTCCCGCTCGGACGAGGAGGGGTCTGACCCATTGCCGTCGTCCGACCACCACGAAGAGGGATCCGACCCTGGGCCGTTGCCCGACCACCGACCGTCGTTAACACCCCCTTGCTCTGCAGGTCCTTCGGCAACGGCGCACTCCCGGCCGCCCGGGGCGCCCGGCTCCTCGGACTCGCCGCCGATAATGTAAATTAAACGCTGCTCCTCCTTGCACATTGCGTCCAAGACGCGCTCCCTCCTCCGGCGCAGTCGGGACAGCTGCTCGCGAGCGCGCTGCCGGCGCACGACGTCCCTGTCCCGGCCCTCGGCTGGGCGCTGGGCTGGGCGCTTGCGCCGGGCCTGCGGGGCCGGCTCCGCCTTCCCACCGGCCGAGCGGCGCCGCGGCGCCGCGGGCGGCACCGCTGGCAGCGCCGCCGACGCCGCGGCCGCCTGAGAGGCCTCCGGCACCGCTGGCTGCGCCGCCGACGCTGCAGCCGCTGCCACCGCCGCCGCACCCGGTGCGGGAGGCACCTCCGCGCTCCCGGCGCTCCGCAGCCGCCTCAGAGGCCTCGAGAAGCTCGAGGCAGCCGCCGCCGCCGCGGCCCCGGCGCGCGCCGAAGCCGGCGCTGACGCCGCTGGCGCTGCTGGCGACTCCAGGGCTGGCGTCGCCCGCGGCGGAGCTGCCCCGCGGTCGGGCGCTGCTGCCGCCCGCAGGGCGCGGCGAAGTCGCTTCGTGGCTGGCCGGGAGGGCAGCCCTTCCGCGACGGCGGGACTCACCGCCGCCGGCGTTGCCGCCGACTCCGGGGCCCTTGCTGACTGCGGCTGCGCGCGGCGGCGGGCCGCGAGGCCGCCCTGCCGGTGCAGCATGCACAACATCACTTGCACGTCGTAGACCGACAAATCCGCCAAACCCGCCTGCCGAGCCAGCGACGCCGCAGCGCTGGCCGCGAGCGCTGCCGCGAGGAGGCGGCAGACCTCCCTCGTGATGTTCAACCAGTAAAGCTGCTGCTCACGATCGGGGGGGGCAGCGGGGGTCTCGAACCTGGAGCTTTCGTGTGTCCCAGGAAGCTTGCGCGGCGTTGTGGGGGTGACGCGCAGATTCTGCGTGTCCTGGCCCCATGGCAGGGCACGCGGGCGTCTGTCTGGGAGCGCCGCGGTCCCCGGCCCGTGGCACCCCTCCTGCTGGAGCCCGCGTGACACGCTGATTCTGCGTGCCCCCGCCCCGGCCCCCGGGACCCCCGGCGCGCGACGCGCAGATTTTGAGCGCCCTGGCGGGCCCCCCGTGACACGCAGATTCTGCGTGTCCACACCCCGGGACCCAGACGCGCAGAATCTCGCGTGGACACGCAGAATCTGCGTGTCCACGCCGCGCTGGCCTAGGCCGCCGGGACCCCCGGCGCGCGACACGCAGATTTTGCGTGTCCGCCCCCCTGGCGGGGCCCGCGTGACACGCAGATTCTGCGTGTCCACGCCCCGGCCCCTGGCCCCCGACCCCCCTGGCGGGGCGCACGGGCGTCTGTCTGGGAGCGCCACGGTCCCCGGCCCGTGGCCCCCCTCCTGCTGGAGCCCGCGTGACACGCAGATTCTGCGCGTCCCCGCCCCGGCCCCCGGGACCCCCGGCGCGCGACGCGCGCATTTTGAGCGCCCTGGCGGGCCCCCCGTGACACGCAGATTCTGCGTGTCCACGCCCGGGCGTGGACACGCAGAATCTGCGCGTCCACGCCCCGGGGCCCACGCGCGCAGAATCTGGCGTGGACACGCAGAATCTGCGTGGTGCACCACGCTGGCCTAGGCCGCCGGGACCTCCGGCGTGCGACGCGCAGATTTTGCGCGTCCGCTCCGCTGGCGGGGCCCGCGTGACACGCAGATTCTGCGTGTCCACGCCCCGGCCCCCGGCCCCCGACCCCCCTGGCGGGGCACGCGAGCGCCAGTCTGGGAGCGCCGCGGTCCCCGGCCCTTGGCCCCCCTCCTGCTGGGGTCCGCGTGACACGCAGATTCTGCGTGTCCCCGCCCCGGCCCCCGGGACCCCCGGCGTGCGACGCGCAGATTTTGAGCGCCCTGGCGGGCCCCCCGTGACACGCAGATTCTGCGCGTCCACACCCCGGGGCCCAGACGCGCAGAATCTGCAGTGGACACGCAGAATCTGCGTGGTGCACCACGCTGGCCTAGGCCGCCGGGACCCCCGGCGCGCGACACGCAGATTTTGCGTGTCCGCCCCTGGCGGGGCCCGCGTGACACGCAGATTCCGCGTGTCCACGCCCCGGCCCCCGGCCCCCGATCCCCTGGCGGGGCACGCGAGCGCCAGTCTGGGAGCGCCACGGTCCCCGGCCCTTGGCCCCCCTCCTGCTGGGGCCCGCGCGACACGCAGATTCTGCGTGTCCACGCCCCCGGACACGCAGAATCTCGTGTGGACACGCAAAATCTGCGTGTCCACGCCATGCTTGCCTAGGCCGCCGGGACCTCCGGCGTGCGACACGCAGATTTTGCGTGTCCGCTCCCCTGGCGGGGCCCGCGTGACACGCAGATTCTGCGTGTCCACGCCCCCGTCCCTGGCCCCCGACCCCCCTGGCGAGGCGCGCGGGCGTCTGTCTGGGAGCGCCACGGTCCCCGGCCCTTGGCCCTCCTCCTGCTGGGGCCCGCGTGACACGCAGATTCTGCGTGTCCCCGCCCCGGCCCCCGGGACCCCGGGCGCGCGACGCGCAGATTTTGAGCTTCCTGGCGGGGTCCCTGTGACACGCAGATTCTGCGTGTCCACACCCAGCCGGGCGTGGACACGCAGAAATCTGCGCGTCCACGCCCCGGGGCCCAGACACGCGGGATGTGGCGTGGACACGCAGAATCTGCGTCGAGCAGAATCGGCGTGTCCCTGCAAGGCGCCCCAGGAGCAACCCTCTCTGACCCCCCCGGGGTGCGCCGACGTCTGCTTCGGAGCCGCCTCGTAGCCCCAAGTCCTGAGCGCTGCGATGGCGCCTCTCCCGACGATGGCGAAGGCGGCGAGGTCCACGGCGCCCGGCGATACCAACGACAAATCTCCGAACACGAATTTAAGCCAGTACCCCAGTCCGAATCCGACGAGGCAGCCAGGCGCTTCTCTAACGAACCAAGAGAAAAAGCCAGTGGGGTCGGGGTCATCGCGCAGAGCCTCCGCGATGCGTCCAGAGCCGTCCCACCATCGCCGCAGGGATGATATCGCGGCATTCCGCCAGGACCCTGTCCCCAGAGCAGACCGTATGCCGTCAGTCGTGGAAAATAAATACGCTGGCTCCCCGGGCTTCTGGGAATACGCCTCCTGTCGATGAGACGAACAATTTCGAGCGCCCCCCCTCCCCCACCCGCCCTTGCTGGAAGGGAAATATCAGGCCCCCCCCCGCTGGAAAGGCAGATTACTGGAGGCGCCCGAAATTGCTCCGCTCAGCTCCTTCAGCGCGTCCGCGAGGATTTGCACGCCCGGTTTCTCCTGGAGGGGCGCGGCCGCGCACCAGGTCAAGAAGCTCGCCCCCATGGCGTCCCACCAAGCAGCCGTGTTGTGGTACCTGAACAAGACTATGCCGAAGACCTGCAACTGAACTGTGCGCGCGCGCAGCCTTGCTGGAACCAGTGTGCATCGCGGAAATGCGTTCCACCATCCCGGCCATGATGCGTGTCCTCTGCCGGCTCTGCGCATTCGGGAAAGGAAAGAGGTCGTCCAACAGCCGGTACCCATCCGGGAGCAGCTCTGGCCTCTTCCGCAACGCGGCCTCGGTGACGAGCTTCGCCAACTCTGCGATGTTCTCGCCGTGAGGCCACCCGACGGCGTCGGAGATCGCCCGACGATCGTCTAGCCAGACCGCCTCGGCGGCCGCGACGCACACGAAAGCACGGAGGAACGATGCCATGGGCGAGCCGGAACTGGCACCCAGGCAACTCTGAGCATAAACAGCTGCGACTGAACACTGTTCATCCTTCCCCCTGGCTGCGGAGTTGGGCCCTCCGACTCCGTTGGAAGCCGCAGGCCCCTGCCCACTATAGACCAATTGGGCCCGCTCGGAACTTGCACGGGAGCCTCGACCCCGGTCGGACCAAAACAGGTCATCGACTGACCCGTCGGCCTCCGACAGGAATCCAGGGTCTCGCACCGACGGGATGGCTCCATTGGAGATTGTGCGCCCCGGGTCGTGACACGCAGGATTTGCGTGTCACGTCTTCTCGACAGCCACCGTTCGGGCGAGGCTTGAAAACTCGGCCGCTGGAGGAGGAGGAGGGGGAAGAGGACGAGGAGGAGGAGGAGGAGGAGGAGGAGGAGGAGGAGGAGGAGGAGGAGGAGGAGGAGGAGGAGGAGGAGGAGGGGGAGGAGGAAGAGGAGGAGGAGGAGGAGGAGGAGGAGAGGAGGAGGAAGAGGAGGAGGAGGAGGAGGACAACCTGGGGGCCCTTTGGGACCTTCTTGCGGCCTTCCTGCGACTCTGGCAAGTTTCTAACCCAGAGCGACCTCTTTCCGTGCGGTCTGGACCACAGCCCCAGGCCACTCGCACCATCGGGCCACCGTACCCATCAGGGTGATGACTCCAGGAAGCTGGGTCCACTAACTAGGGCAAGCCGGCCCAAAGCCGTGTAACCTCAAGTCCCCCCCCTCCTCGTCTTCCTCCTCCTCCTCCTCCTCCTCCTCCACCACCCCCTCCTCCCTCCATTCTAGACATTCCTCCTCCTGGGTACTATCGTGCCCGCCTTGAGGAACTCTGGATAACAAGAAGGACAGGCACAGGCAGGCACAACACGAGCGTGTGGGGCTTCGGGGCCCACTTGCGCCCACGTGCACGGGCACCGTCACGGGGAGCAAGACAAAGGATGGCCCAAGTGGGGAGACCGAAAGGTACCGATACCGCTACTCCACGCACCTCTCCTGGGGTGCGGCCTGACCAGCGGTGGCGACGACGGAGGCCCAGGAGGCCCCAAAGGGGAAAGGGAGGGAAGGGTAGAGGTATGGGTGCCTGTTCCTCCTCTGACCGAGGAGCTCCGAGCCCCGTCCGAAACGGAAGGGATCCCACTTCGTCCGAAGCTCGTTGGCCGTATTGCTTTTTGCACACAGGTTTCCAAAATGCTGCTCTCGCTGAGGCGCCGGCCTCTTTTTCGGGCCCCGCTCGCTCCGAATCGCGCTCCCGCTGCAGCGCTGGCATCATTCCCGCCGGCGCCTGGGCTGCACGCCCGAGCCGGCGCCCGGGCCGGCGATCGGGCCGCCGGGTACGGAGCCGGTTCCGGCCCCCCTCGGAAAATGGAGTTCCGAGGCGGCGCCGAAAAAAGGCCATTCTAATACACATTTTTCTTTTGAAAATGCTAAATTTCTGCTCCCGGCGCCCGGAGGGCCTCCCAGGCCGATTCCGACGCCCGGGCTGGCGCCCGAGCCGGCGCCCGGGCCGGCGCCCCCGGCCGGGTCCGGAGCCGGTTCCGGCCGGCGCCAGAAAATCGAGTTCCGAGGCGGCGCCGAAAAAAGGCAATTCTAATACACATTTTTCTTTTGAAAATGCTCAATTTCTGCTTCCGGCGCCCGGGGGCCTCCCGGGCCGATTCCGACGCCCGGGCTGGCGCCCGAGCCGGCGCCCGGGCCAGACGCCCGAGCCGGCGCCCGGCGCCCGGGCCGGCGGCCGGGCCGGGGCCAGAGCCGGTTCCGGCGGGCGCCAGAAAATCGAGCACCGAGGCGGCGCTGCAAAAAGGCCATTCCAATATACATTTTTCTTGCGAGAATGCTGAATTTCTGCATCTGGCGCCCTGGAAGCCTCCCGGGCCGACTCTGGCGTGCTTCCGCTCGTTCCGAATCGTGTTCCCGCTGCAGCGCTGGCCTCATTTCCGCGCTTCCGCTCATTTCGACTCGTGCTCCCGCTGCAGCGCTGGCGTCATTTCCCCGCGTGGGCTTCGCCTGCCCGTTTCGGCACACCTCTCACACACGTCATGCCCTCCAGGGACCTCCGCTCATGGCCCCACTGGGCGTGCTCGCACGGGCACCCCTGGCATATTTCGGGCCCGCTCGACGAAGGCTGTCCCGCGTGTCGACGCGGGCGCGCTACAGGGCCGCCCCGATCGCGTTCCGCGTGGCACGCAAGATCTGCGTGTCAGGTCTAGGCGACACGCAGGAATTGCGCCCCACGTCTTACGCGTGCCCGATCGAGGACGGCGCGCCCCAGAGCCAGACTCGGGCGCGCCCCAGGACTGCCCCGATGAAGCGTTTTCCTGTCTGCTCCCCCTCGCGGGCGCTGACCCCTCCAGCGCCGAGCCCAAGCTCGCCGAAAACAGAACTACCTGCTTCGGCGCCCCTTTAAAAAACGAAACAGGGCCGCCCTGGCGCTCACTCGCCAGCAGAGTCGCCCTTGAACAAATCCCCGACCTGAAAGCCGGCAGCGGCTTAGTGGGGCGCAGCAGCTGCCGCCGCGCCAGTTGCGGCCGCCGCCTCACTCGCCAGGAGCGCGACGAGACCGGCGCAGACGCGGGCTGCGCCGCCCGGCGCAGGCGGCGCTGCTCCGCTCGCCGCAGCCGCCGCGGGGTCGGCGCCCTGCGGCGGCCCCTGCACCGAAGGCGCCGCGCCGCTCGGCGCAGCGGCCGCAGAGGCGGCGGCCCCCGAGCCAGCGCCAATCTTGCCCGCGACCGCCGCCGCCGACACCCTCTTGATCCTGTGGAGGCCCCCCGCGCCGCTCGGCGGAGCTGCTGCAGGGGCGGCGCCCCCCGCGCCAGCCTCGCCCTTGCCCGCGCCCTTCGCCGAGGGCGCCTTCTTGGTCCTGTGGAGGCTCCCGGGGTTCAAGCTGGCTTTCTTGAAGTCCCCCACCATCCTGCGCCAAACGTCGTCGGCGCCTGTCTGGTCTTTCTTCGCAGCGCTGGCGAGGATGGACCACAGCCATGCAGAAAGCGTGGTCTGTTGCGCTCTGCCGGCTGCCACCCGCCACACCCGCGGGTCCTTCGCTTCCAGCAAGCGCACGTAAGTGCGCTCCAGCTGCAAGAAATGCCAGTCAAGGACGTCGTTCACCAGGGCCCTCCGCTTCTCCTTGGTGAAGAGCTTTGATTTCTTCAGCGCGACTGGGACGGCCGCCAAAAAATATTTGCTCTCCCCGACGTTATCCTGCGTAGGCAACTCGGCAATGTTGGCAAGGGTGGACTCGAAGGGCGTCGCGCGGCTCACGTCGAGAGCGCGGGAGAGCCTCGCGCCGTCGGCATCTTCGGCCCCGCCGGCGAGCTGCGCCAAGATGCTGTCGAGGAGCTTCCCCCGGATGCGAGCGAGCTCCTGCTGATTTCGGCGCAAGACAGCGAGCTCCTCGGCGGATGGCGCCGGAGCGTCAGGAGCTTCCGCGGCGGGCCCGCCGCTGAAATCCTGATCAGCGTGCAGCCAAACGTTCTGCTTGCGCAGAGCCTGCTGCCTGCGGCGCAAATCATTCACGCCCGCCAGGACCGCGCTCGGGTGCTCACGGAGCACGCCGGCAGCCTGCCCTTCGGTCAGCCAGCCGCAACGCACGAACGCCGCGCACAGCGTCAGCTGGGAAACGCTGGCCCACGCCGCCGCCCAAGCCCCCGCGATGTGGTAGAGAGTTGGGCTGCGCATGCTCCCGCAGTCAGTGACGAGGGGCCCCCCCGGCGCCATGTGCGCGGCCGCATTCGGAGACCGCGAAGGACGCAGTCTGATATCAGGGCCATCTCCCAAGATCTCGTGGAGGACATTGTTTTTCTCTTGCTTGACGATCTTCGCAATCTGATCAACCTCGCACAGGTCGGGCGTGCTGTTCTCCGGCAGAAGCTCGCGGACCAAGTTGAACTTGGCCAGCGCTTCCCGCCTCTTGCGCTGGAGGTCGCCCTCGCCAGACGCCTTGCACTTGTCCCCCGTGTGCGCGGGGGCCGGGTCCTCCGTGTACAGGATCTTGCTCTGGGGGGGGAGGCCCCGTGCGTGCCTGATGTGATCAGCGAGGGGGCCGATCATCTTCTCCAGCACCACGCGGGCGTGGGTGGTGCCAGTCATCACTGAACCCCTGCGGGCGACCACCTCGACATGCCCCCCGAAGTCTTCCTGGATAGCCTTCAGCATGGGCGGCCTGCACGACTTCACGAGCAGCAGCACGCGGCCCCGCTCCGCGGGGCTGAACGACAGACACGCCGTGAAGGACACGCGACCCCTGGAAGTCCTCTTGCATCTGCGGCCCGTGGCTTTGCTGCGCTCTTTGGCAGTGCTCTGGACTCGCTTCGGGACAGCCATGTAGTAATCTGGAACTTCATCGAAAATCAAAACCAGATCTCTGGCAATGCCGTGCTCCTCCTGCGTCCGCGCGCAGCTCGCCCAGAACTGCTCGATCGCCGCGCGCTCAGGGCGCCGGACTTCTGTGGACTGCACGGCCGAGTTGAGGATGCCCAGCCTCCTCTTCTGGCCCGCAAACCACCCCACTGAAACTTTCTCCGGCAGCCTCCCGTGCATCCCAGCCTGCTCGAAGCCCTCTCGAGTCCTCCGCAGCTCGGCGTTGAAGCTGAAGAGCGTGTCGTGGAAGGACACCTTCTTATCCTCGCTCCGCTCCGCCTCGTGCAGCTCGTGCCACCTGCGAAGCACGGTCTCCAAGTCGGGGAACTTCTGAAGCAATGGGAGCTTCGTGCCCGTGCGCAGCCCGTGGGCTGGACCTGCGGCCGCCGCGGGGGGGGTGACCGGAGCTGCGAGCGCTTCGGGGCCTGGCGCTGCAAGCTCTGCTCCGCCAGCGAATCCACCCTCCGCCCCCAGAAGCGGGGGCGCGGCTGCGCCCGCATGGGCGGCGAGAGGGGGCGCGGGGCCGCCAAGCCCTGCCGCCGCCGCCGCCTCCGCTGCCCCTCGCTCGCGGAGAGAACGGATCCGGCGCCGCTTCGTCGGCGGTTGCAGCGGCGGTGCCGCAGGCGGCATCACTTGCGCCTGGGCTGGCTGTCTGCTCTCCCCGAAGCGCTCGTCCAACCACCACGGCGGCAAGCGACACCGACTCTGCAGGGGCCTCTGCCCGTGCAGCCGGATCGCCCTCGGGTCAGCCTCGAAGGCCATCCAACCCTCAATTGCCCGCTCCCTCGCCCAGTCGCCCACGTGGGAGAGGTGCTTGTGCTGCTTCACCGAAGCGAAATGCACGGGGCCCAGCGGCGCGCCTTTGGGCAGCTCCATCCAACTACCATCGGCATGCTTGTGGATGTCCCAACGAGACTCGGCCTCGGCGATGCATGCGACGCGCTGCTGGAGGGTGAGAGCGGCCTGGTACGGTGCGCGAGCAGGCATGCCTGGCAGGGGCGAGCCGGAGCTGGCAGCTAGGCAACTCTGAGCACAAACAGCTGCGGCTGAATACTGTTTCTCCTTCCTCCTGGCTGCGGAGACGGGCCCTTCGACTCCATTGGAGCCGCAGGCCTCTGCCCACTAGACGCAGGGGGCCACCAGGGGACCTGCGCGGGGGCCTCGGCCCTGGTCGGACCAGCGCAGGTGGTCGGCTGACTCCTCCCAAGAGCCTCCGCAGAAAAGCCGTCGGCCTCATCTCCGACCTTGCCGACAGGAATCCAGGGTCTCGCACCGATGGGATGGCCTTTCCTCGAAGCTCGGGCCAAGGGGGCACTGGGTGCCACAACGGCCCCTCGCGTCTTGGAACGGGATCGTCCCTCCCGCTCTGCGGGGTGCGCAGGAATCCAAGGCCTCGCGGCCTCAGGCCAAGGATGGCTAACCTCCTCAGGGCCCCGGGCCCCCCTCGATACTGGATTCCGTGTGACACGCAGGATTTGCGTGTCACGTTTGCGCGACACGCAGGATTTGCGCGTCACGTCTTCTGGAGCAGCGCCTTGCGCATCAGCCGGGAATCAAACCCGGGTCGCATCGATGACAACGATTTATTCTGCCGCTAGACCACTGGTGCTGTTGACATGTTCTTTCCCGCAGTTGTTTCTGGGTGTTCCTGGGGGCGTCGTTCGGCGCAGGCAAGCAATGGACCCTGCGGCGTTGCGTTTTCACGGACCAAACTGTCGCCTTCGCCCCCCCCGCCAGAGCCCGTGCGACACGCAGATTCTGCGTGCCCCTGCGCGGCGTTCTCGAAGTGACACGCAGATTCTGCATGTCCCGGCCCTGGCCCCCCGCCTCTGGACTTCCGGGAGCGCCCGGTCCCCGGCCCTTGGCCCCCTCCTGCTGGGGCCCGCGTGACACGCAGATTCTGCGTGTCCCGACCACGGCCCCCGGGACACCCGGCGCGCAACACGCAGAGTGTCCGCCCCCCTGGTGGGGCCCGCGTGACACGCAGATTCCGCGTGTCCCCACCCCGGCCTCCGGGGCCCCCGGCGTGCCACGCGCAGATTTTGCGCGCCCGCCCCCCTGGCGGGGCCCGCGTGACACGCAGATTCTGCGTGTCCCCACCCCGGCCCCCGGACCCCCGGCGTGCGACGCGCAGATTGTGGGCCCGCGTGACACGCAGATTCTGCGTGTCCCCATCCCCGGCCCCCAGGACCCCTGGCGTGCGACGCGCAGATTTTGCGTGGCCGCCCCCGTGGTGGGGCCCGCGTGACACGCAGATTCTGCGTGTCCCCACCCCGGCCCCCAGGACCCCTGGCGTGCGACACGCAGATTTTGCGTGACCGCCCCCCTGGCGGGGCCCGCGTGACACGCAGATTCTGCGTGTCCCCACCCCGGCCCCCGGACCCTCGGCGTGCGACGCGCAGATTTTGCGTGTCCGCCCCCCTGATTCTGCGTGTCCCGCCCCAGGCGCGCTCCGCGTGACACGCAGATCTTGCGTGTCACGTGTAGGCGATCACGCAGGATTTGCGCGTCACGTCCACGCGTGCCCGATCGAGGATGGCGCGCCCCAGATCCAGACCCGGGCGCGCGCTCGAATGCATTTGCCCTGGGGCCTCTGGGGCCTAACAAGCGCGTTCATTTCTAATTCCGGTCATTTGCAATTCCGGCCACGAATTAGAAATGAAGCGCGCCGAAGGGGCGGCGGAGGCCACGCGCAGCGCACGAATTAGAAATGAGCACTCTGTACGGCACCTGCCGCGGTCTATCCTGTTGGTCTATGCAAGACGCTGATCAAGGACATGGTGAAGATACTGCACATGACGAGCACACAGGTGTTGTGGGCTCGCAAGAGATGTCAACATGGAGCAACGGCAGGTGTACCACATACACGCACACAAGGATGTCGTTTCAAGCCCCTGGAGGCATCATCGGCAGACCAAGTTGCCGCATCAGCTCCAGAATCACCTGCAGCAGCAGCCGACCCATCTTCAGCGGCAGCAGCTAGCTCATCGTCAGCAGCAGCATCCAGCTCAGCACCAGTACCAGCACCTGCTGCACCTGTGCCAGCTGAACCGATACAGCCCGCTGAAGTAGCAGTACCAGAGGCACCTGCTCAGGAGATCGCCGAGGCAGCTGCACCTCCGGAGGTCCCACCTCCACCACAGCCTGACGCTCAGGAACAGGAGGATGCAGAGAAGGGGAAAGGCTTGAAGATTGTGATGCCATCATATGATCTCGGGAAGCTCTCTCAGAAGCTACTGCAGGCTGATTCGAAAGAGGAACGAATCAAATCACGAATGAGACTGCATTGCAAATTCTTCCATCCTCCAGGGTACGAGCTGGAACGCATGATTCGGGCCCTTGGTCTACCAGCCAACATTCGCGATCTCTGCAAAGGTCTGGCTCAGCACTGTGGCACGTGTCTCCGACGTCAGCGAGCTATGTACAAGCCATCAGTAAAGACAGTGCTGGCCGTGCGATTTAATGAACGCGTTCAAGCAAATCTTTTCTTTTTATTCGGGAAGGTATGGTTGTTGATGACCGACGAATGCATCAGATACCGAATCGCTGCACCAATCTCCAGTAAAACAGGTCAGGGCGTCCTACGATCCATGCTCAGTCATTGGGTCAAATATTTTGGGCCCATGGACTCTCTGGTCATGGGTCAGGAGGGTGGCGTGACAACAGGACGTGGTCTCATTGTTCGCAGATCGTTACCATATCACCTTGATCTTCGGAGGCGCTGACGGACATGCCACCGCTGGCTTGGCAGAGCGCGCCATTCAGTCGGTGAAGCTGACGGCGCTCGCGACCAAGCGGGACGTTCAGAAGCAAGGATTGACCAGTATCACGGACGCAGACATTGTTGAGGAGCCAGCAATGGTCGGCAACCTGTTCATGAACTACGGCGGCTCCGTTCCAGCTCAAGGTTTGTTTGGTATCATGCCAATGGGCGCTTGCGATCCTGAGGTAGGCGCTCTTACAGCTTGCTCATCTGCTCTTGATCAGACACCAGACGTGACTGAGCAGCACCTACGACTACGGCTCATAGCGAAGGCGAACATCTTGCAGCCCATCATTGAGGAAAGAATTGCCAAGGCCAATTCTACCAGACAACAGAAGCAATACCCAGGATGGTTAAACACACTGAAGGCGCATGATTCCGTGGATATCTGGCGCACTCCTGCCAGAAAGGATCATGACGGATGGCGAGGCCCAGCAGAATTCATCAGCCTCGACAAAGACAAGTCCACCGCCATCGTGATTCATCAGAATCAGCCGTACATGATACCGACACGTCATCTTCGCACCCGGCGTCTCAGCTACTAGTCATTGGGTTTCGAGCTTGATGGTGTTCAGACCTTCCTAGAGGACAGCATTCCAGATAGGCTTGTGAGACTCTTCGAGATCGTGGAAGGTACACCACCAGGACTTCTTTATCGTATCGGAGTCTTTTCAGGACAAGAGACTCCCGCAGATCTGTTCGAGAATGAACCAATGATCTGGGAGCTGGCCACCGATCTAGGTACCACGGTATTTCGAATGGCAAATGTTCAAGGCATCGTCTACGGCAGTGGTGTTCGGATGATCAACAACTTATCGGAGTTCGCACATGGTCATGTTATTGCCTGGTTGGCCAATCGTCGAGACCAGTACTACAGCACCGAGGTCGAGACCTCGCAAAACATTAACATGCAAAAGATTGTTGGCAGCGAATGGCACCGACATCACTTCATGGTTTTCGTCTCAAGCATGCAGCGCCTGGATGGCAATCCTGGATCATACGTGCAGCCGGATCTGAGCATAATACCTTTCATGGACGATGATGGCCATGACGCTCAGATGACACTGAGGAACATGTTTCCAGACGAGGAAGCCATGGGCGCCACTCCTGCGCATACACCTACCAGACATGCGAAGGACTCAATCTCAACTCTGTCTCCGACGACAACAGAATCACCTGTTGTATCGCCTCGGCGAGCTCTGCCAGCACCGACATCACCTACTACGCGCAGCAAACAAATGGTATCTTTACCAACGAGCGCACCACAGACACCGGAAGCACTATTAGGCGATGAAAGTAGGGAGCACCCCCTTGTACGAACAGAAGTACCACATGGCGCCAAGACAGTAATTCGAGGCATTCTCAAACACCCAGCATCACGAGCACAACCGCAAGTCGCAACCACACTACCGATCACATCACAACCTGAACAATATGGATTGAACTTGGAGAGGGATCTATCTCGCATCATGGAAGAAAGTGACGCTACTCATGATGAACCCGAACCACGTTCACGATCGCACTCACCCAGACGACAAACAACGACATCAGACACAACGCTCGTTCCACTGCATTTAGATCAACGGCAAACATCAGCTTCAAGGACAACCCTCACTACAGTACCACAGTCAGCAGTCAGCTCAGGCGCAATCATCAGACGAGATCGCGCAAGCAATCCAGCACTGGACGATAGCATCATTGATCTCGGACATCGGCGCAAAAGTGTGAAGTCAACTACTGAAGTATCCTCAGCGACACTACCGACTGCAGACTCAGCTAGTTGATCAGCCAGCCGCATCTCCTGTATTACCACCAGTGGGAGCACCGCAGCATCCACGAGATGCAGAACCTGCAATTTCGGCTCAAATTCCGCGTGGTGGCGAAGAGAACGATTCGAATGTCAATGACAATTCCGACCTGCCTCGCGCCCTGCAGGACATGTTGGATCAGGATGACGTTCAGGAGCTTCAGGAGGAGCAGGAGGAGATCACACCTACTGGAGATGCGGAGGAACTTTTCTTTCAATGGTTGGTCCATGCAGCCGAGCGTTCTGTAATATTGCCATCAGACAAGCTCTGTGCACTCTACATGGACAGCACCAGATCCGAGACGTACGATGCAGAGATAACGATCAACGACAGCACCCACTTTCATACGTCTAGGATGCCGTGGTCTGTGACAGAGGCCCAGTGCATCGTCAGTGCTAACTCATCCATTCACCCAT